CTTTTATGAATATGTCATGTATGACAAGCCCAAGAGCTCATGGCAGCTGTGCTGTGTTCCAGGGATTGCCATTGCTGCCTCCAGAGAGGATTCTTCCCCTGATCTAACACCAAGGACAGAGAATCTGCACAGAAACTCACTGTGTCCACAGAGGAACAGTCTTTGCTTCGCAGAAGGGAGATCAGGCCAGCATGCACACAGATTGGTTGCAAGTCCCTGCTTTCTGCTTCCATTAAAGTCTGCATCTGTGGCATGGTTTAATCTGACTGAAGAGCAGAATGAATCAGGGACTTCTGTTTCCTGGGTTGTGCATTTCTTGAAAATATTTCTTGCAACCTCTGAAAGAGCTATGCACTATCTTTTTTATGATTTATTTCATTTATTTGAAAGGGAGGGAGGTGTCTGGACCAGGCTGAAACCAGGAGTCTGGAAATCCATGGGGGCCTCCCAGGTGGGTGGCAGTGACTTAAGTGCTTGGACCATTTTCTGCTGCTTTCCCAGGCACATGCATCAGAGGGAGGTGGATTGAAGTGGGGGCCCCTAGACTTGAACATGCATTCTTCCAAGGAATGATAAATCGACTGCTTCCAACACTGGCATCTCATATGGGTGCTAGTTTGGATCCTGGCTTCTGTACTTCTTGTCCAGCTCCCTGCTAAAGGCCTGGGAAAAGCAGCACAGATGGCCCAAGTGCTTGGGCCCCTGACCCCCCACATGGAAGACCTGGATGAAGTTCTGGGCTCCTGGCTTTTGCCTGGCCCAACCCTGAATATTGTGCTTTATGTGTAGCTAATGATCAAATGGAGGATGTTTTTTCCTGTCTTTCCATTCTGCTTCTATAACACTTTCAAATAAATAAATATTTAAATATATAAATAAATTAATTCTGTGATAGTTTTTCAAGCTCAGCTCACTTGGGTGAAATGTTGTGTTACAGGTGAAAAGCAGTGGAGATAAGATTACCTTGGTTTTGTGTCTCACATGGAAAAAGAATTTCTCAAGAGAATAGCAAGATTTATTTAAGTCAGAGATCTCCAGCCAGAGTGGCCTGAAGGGGGCGCTTTAAGAGGGGAAAAACCTGAAGGGACTGGTGGTAATGGGGTGTTTAGCAGAATTTGGGGGAAGAAAATACCTTGACAATCAAGTTGACATTCAGTTACAAGGCAGGGACAAAACCCACAAAAAGACATGATCTATAATTTTATTTGCCAAGGGATGGAATAAATCACTTGCTTTTACAGTAAACTGTGAACACAGAAGGATAGAATCAGCACTCTTTTGATATTCTCGTAGTAAAATTGGAAGCTCCCAGGGAGTGGGTGGGCAGGCACTTTTGACTTTACTAAAGGTAACTCTTTTATGCAAAGCAAGCATTTTACACACTAAATTCCCACCAGGAGCACCCATCTGACTTATTCCTTTTAGGCCTCTGGGACTTTCTCATTAAGATAACCATCATTTCTGATAACAACAAGATCATTAGACTTTTCTAACTTTTGGACATTTGTATCAGTAGCATTTTGCATTATCATAACTTAAAATTTGGCACCACTTCACATCTTGACAGTACGTTTAATATAATCCAAATGGCCTTGTTAGTTGGTATCTCTACAAGATGAGAGATATATCCTTTGATATTCCCAGGAGCCCAGATGGACATATCAAAGTCCAAAGAATTTGGAACTTTGTTTTTTTGAATGCCTGTCAAAGATGCCAAGAAGGTTTAAAACATCTGGTATAAACAGAACCCCTTAACATCATGACACAATATAGATCAGATTTGAGCATCATTTCAAAATGATTACTCAAATATGTCAGAATGAGTATATATATTCAAAAAACCATAACTCTTTTAATAAAGAAAACTCAGCTATATTTAAACAATTAGAACTTAAGGGCCAGCACCACGGCTCACTAGTCTAATCCTCTTCCTATGGCACCGGCACCCTGGGTTCTAGTCCTGATTGGGGCGCTGGATTCTGTCCAAGTTGCAGGAAGGCAGTGGAGAAAGGCCCAAGTGCTTGGCCACTGCAGCTGCATGGGAGACCAGGAGGAAGCAATTGGCTCCTGGCTTCGGATCAGCACAGCGCGACGGCCACAGCACACCAGCCATAGCAGCCACTTGGGGGGTGAACCAATAGAAAAAGAAAGACCTTTCTCTCTGTCTCTCTCTCTCTCACTGTCTAACTCTGCCTGTCAAAAAAAAAAAAAAAAAAAGAATTTAAAGAGAGGCATAGAGCACAATAGATGACTTCAAAAAAACACAAAATCTGTCTCTTTGATCATCCCAAAAATTAGAAGTAAAACCTTAAATATAAGAGTTAGCACATGGTATCATCCCATAACTTGGAGCAATTTCAATAGTGTCAGAACTAGGGAAGAGAAAATAGGTTAGTGGAGCTGGCTAGAAAACTGATGAAGAGTCACCAATTCAACAAAAACTATTAAAAGGAGATGCTTCAGTTTTTAAACAGATTTTTAGGTTAATTTCAAACTAACATATGTATTGCATATATATGGATTACTATCATATTACATACATAGATATTACTAACATATGTATTGCAACAACCTCATTGTTCTAGCATAGGATAAAATTCCAACTCTATGTCAAAGAAAAGTAGATTAATAGCTTTTGTATCCAAAAGTTTCTTTCTTTCATTACCTTCTGTAATTTCCTAACATCTTCTGCAACTTACATAAACCTTTCTATCTTTTCCATTCCAATCTAGAGTAAATGAGCCATTAGGATAAAGTAATTCTTACTTCACTTTAAACTATGTCCTTAGGTACTCTAAACATTGTCTTTAAAGAAAAGTCTCTTTTCATACCAGGAACACATTTTATTTGTGACCCTTTTCCATCTGCTTATTTCCTTGATTTACATTTTGAAATAACCCTTTAAAGATCTCCAAATTAAGACAACATTTTATACATAAGATAACACACTAAATTTCAACCTTAGTTACTTTCAAGCAATGTTGAACTATTTTTCAGATAGTTTTTAAAGCATGTTTGTTAACAAACCCAAATAGATTTTCCACAGAAGATGAGTTGCTAATAGTACTAAAGTTTACATTTAGACACATTTATCTCATTTACATTTACCCAATTTACATTTAGCAATTATACCTAGAAGACCTAAGATGCTGATATGATATCATACCTCTATCCAAATTAAGGTCAAAATTACATTTATTTGGAATTCTACTCCTTTTTATCAAACTCCAGGTAGAAATCAGTGACGTAAACCATGGACTGCAAAATCCACTTTAGGGGGCTGACAAGAGCTGATTATCCATTGCTGTTAAACCAAGTTATAAAACAAGCTCAGCAAGATAAAATTCAAAATTTGTAGGCAATGATCTTAAACCTAATGTCTCACTGTAGCTGAAACAAATTTTTGTATATGAGATTGTTATTTACAAAAGACATCTTTTTAGATTTGAAGTTGAATTTTAGTCTTGCTTTCTATTTATCCAAAAAGCACCTTAGGACAATGATGCTTAGTCGACAGTCTACTTGTTAGGACTGCCTCTGAAGCAAAAATTTCAGGCAGCTGCAAGACAGGTCCCATAGGTGACTGTGGGCTAAGGTCCATGGTGCCAGGGACAAGAAGTGCACTGGAGATTGTTCACCATTACGTTAGGTTTAATGGGAGAGGACTCCATCAGAACAGATGGGCACCCTCCAGAGAAATGCCTGAGGAGGAGAATCTGATAGGTGACAGAATAAAGGGCAGTGACCTAAAGAGGCTCCTGTAAGAGCCTGTGAAGAGGCAAGCCACAGGGAGAAAAATTGGAAGCCCTGCAAAGAGATAATAACTTTATACTCCAGACTAAATTCCATTCAACTTTCATTTTATTTTTATTCTTATTTCAAATTTTTTAAAAAAATATTCATTTACTTATTTGAAAGCAGAGAGAGAAGGAAACACCATTCACCTTCTGATTCTCTCCCCAAATATCTGCGATCATTGGCAACCACGTGCCAGGCAGTTGATCAATACTCTCTTGAATGATGAGGACCCCATAATGTGAGCCCTCACCTGTTACCAGGGTGCACAGCAGCATGAAGCTGGAATCAGGGGCAGAAAAGGGACTCAATCCCAGTCACTACAACACAGCATTGGGATGTCCACATGGTGTCTTAACTCCAGACCAAGTGTCTGTCCTCTTTTTTCTTTTAATTTTAGCTTTGTCCCCCTTTCATTTTACTGATTATAGAGTACCCTCTGAAGTTACATTCAATATTTCTTATTTACATTAAAGAGCTGTCAAGCCTTGGCATTACAATGATCCTGCAATGAACAGACTAGTACATACACACCACTTCAACTTGGGTATACAAGTCTATGAAAGAAATTTCAAAAAGTGCAATTGGTGTATAAAAAGTCACCTACATTTTAATATTTTATACATAATTGTAAGAGTTGACACTCACATTAACAAATACGAGCGACTCTCAATTTCCCAAATTCCTTGCTTTCTCAGTGTGCAGTTAAAGCTATTTTTCCTTGCCCTTTATAAAGGTGAAAAAGGAAACACATAATTTTACTTTGCATATCTTTTATTATCAGTAAAGTTAAGCATTTCACTCTTTATTTTGGCTATTTAGAAAATGTGGCTGCTGTTCTAAGCTCACTGATATACAAGGACTCATTACAATTTAAAAATCTCCATCTGTAGCACAAATTGTGCTTTTTTTTCTTCATCTTGCCATGCATTTTAGCTTCATTCAAATTGTTTTTATGAAGAATTTCATTATATTCCAATTTACATCCCAATTCATCATAATAATGCAATAAAAATTCAGTTTGTCTTTTTAGGATACAAAGCCCTGATATCCTTTAATAATTATATTTCATTTTTAAATTTTTTTCTTCTTTTTTTTATTTAGTATATATAAATTTCCAAAGTTCAGTTTATGGATTACAATGGCTCCCTCCCCCATAACTTCCCTCCAACTCGCACCCCTCCCATCTCCCGCTACCTCTCCCATTCCATTCACATCAAGATTCATTTTCTATCTTTATATACAGAAGCTCGATTTAGTATATATTAAGTAAAGGTTTCATCTGTTTGCACCCACATAGAAACACAAAGTATAAAATACTGTTTCAGTACTAGTTATAGCATTACTTCACATTGGACAACACATTAAGGACAGATCCCACATGAGAAGTAAGTACACAGTAACTCCTGTTGTTGACTTAACAAGTTGACACTCTTGTTTATGGCGTCAGTAATCTCCCTAGGATCTAGTCATGAGCTGCCAAGGCTATGGAAGCCTTTTGAGTTTGCTGACTTCGATCTTATTCCGACAGGGTCATAGTCAAAGTGGAAGTTCTCTCCTCCCTTCAGAGAAAGGTACCTCCTTCTTTGATGACCCGTTCTTTCCACTGGGATCTCACTCACAGAGATCCTTCATTTAGCTCTTCTTTTTTTTTTCTTTTTTCCAGAGTGTCTTGCCTTTCCATGCCTAACATACTCTCATGGGCTTTTCAGCCTGATCCAAATGCCTTAAGGGCTGATTCTGAGGCCAGAGTGCTGTTTAGGACATCTGCCATTCTATGAGTCTGCTGTGTATCCCGCTTCCTATGATGGATCATTCTCTCCCTTTTTGATTCTATCAGTTAGTATTAGCAGACACTAGTCTTGTTTGTGTGATCCCTTTGACTCTTAGACCTATCAATGTGATCAATTGTGAACTGAAATTGATCACTTGGACTAGTGAGATGGCATTGGTACATGCCAACTTGTTGAAGTGAAATGGACACTATGAGAAACAGTGACTTGATCAGCTCTTGTCCTGACTGTTGATGTACAATATAATATTTTATCAATTTTAGTATTTTTCTGTTCCAGTACTATTGGTTGAACTCTGTAATTAACACACAATTATTCTTAAGTGTTTAAATTTTAACTGAAAAGTGATATCTATTAAATATAAGAGTGGGAATAAGAGATGGAGGAGATGTACAATTTCATACATGCTCAATCGAACTTACCCCAAATGGTGGAGTTAGAAATGTTCCAGGGGATTCCAATACAATCCCATCATTTGTAAATTTTTAATGAAACTTGTATGACATACATACTTTTTACGATGAGCAACACTATTATGCTATTAAAATGAAGAAGAAAGCCCATTTTATATTTTCCTGCCCAGGAAATCTCAGCCTATAAAATTCTTCGACTCAGTCTTAACAGCCTTGAAATACCTGCCTTTGACAGCCTACCCAATACGGAACCAAATATACCACCCACAAAAGAAAGAATCGCTGAAGACCACCCTTCTTGATTTTTAATTGCTGCCATATCTTCTGTTATCCGATTAATCTCTTTATGTAGCATATCAGCTTCCTTATTAAATCCTTCTGTAAGCATGTCTTTTTGAACCTATGAAATAGAAAGTCCACTTTTCAAAAACTTTGTAATTAAGCATAAGAGTTTTACATTTAACCATGTCAGCATTTAAGCACATATCTCTATTTTTCTACCATTTTAGAGGGTTTTTTTTAGGAATTTGTCCACCTACAAGCCAGAAGTTTTGACTTGAATAAGAGAAAATCCATGGTTTAACGTTTGTGAGATTTCCTTAGCACCATTTCCCCAGGGCAAAGTGGGGAGTTTTGTGTAGACACAAAGAAAGCTCATTGGGAAAGAATGTGGATTAAATTTTTTTTTAGTGGAAAGTAAAATAGCAAGGTTTATTAGGGAAGGGACATCTGTAAGAACGGATGGGGACCTCTCCAGACAGAACCTGAGAGAGAGTACCCAGTCGCTTGGACTTGGGGAGAACGATGTTACATGGTTGAGTGGAGAGAATACACCTGGGCAGGCGATGCAGGCGGCTCAGCATGGAGGCAGAGGCCTGAGAGCACAGTCCGTTGACGCTGGGTTTTTTAAGGAGATGGGTCTTTGTCTTCACACATCTCCTCCTAAAATTGGCTCTCATTTCCATGAGGTGGCACAGCTGAGCTCATCTAGCAACTAGTGAGAAGTGCTGACACCACACAGGACACTGCTTATCAAACCCCACGCTGGGACAAAGGATGTATGTTACATTAGTCATAAAGGATGATCAGGCAGATCTGGAAACAATGGACCAGATTCAGAGTCCTCCATTTTCTATCAGGTCAAATTTGATATTATCAGACCAGATAAACCTATTTCAGTCTCTTTGAGAGTTGTTCCAGAAATCTCAAGCACCAGTAGCTAAGGTCCCATTGCATAGGGGCTTAGTGAGACCATTTCACAGTTGGAGCAACAACTGCAGCCCCAAACCCAGGAGAATGTCATTTGTGTCTCCAAAGTCCAACACTCCAGAAAGGGCTGGAGTCTCCTAGATTTCCATGCTTCAGGGGGACCCAGGTGTATTTGAGGTTGCAGTGGGACAATTGTCTTTTAGGTTCCCTCTGGGATGACACCTGTGCTTGACATTGGGTCCTGCCCTTCCCAGGATCCAGAACACTGTCCCCCGGGGCACCGCCCAGCCCCCAGACTCACCTTCAGCTTGTGCTCCAGCATCCTCTCCTGCTCTCTGAGGAGGTCCTCCCTTTCCCGCTCCATCTTCTCCTTCAGTTGAGCGATGTTCTCCTGGAAGCTTCTCTCTTGAGCCTCCATCTTTTGCTGCATCTCCTGCTCCCTCTGTCTTAGCACTTCCCGTTCCTTCTCAGCGGCCTCCCTCTTGGCCTCCCCAGCTGTTTCACAAACATTAACAAGGGAAGAAAAACTGTTGAGTTCAAGAGCAGGCAGCTTTAACAGCAATGCTGCAAGTGGGAGGGGAAGATCTTCCCCTAAACAGGAAGGGGATGTTCCAGAATGTGCCAGAAAGGCACTGATTGGCTGGATGTGCAGCCCAACTGCCCTTGTTATTTTCAGGTTTAGCAGACCATGTGCTCAGTAGTCTGAGGAAGTCTCTTATTCCAGGAAAAACGTCTCCTTCAATTCACAGGAGTTCATCTCAGGAACCTCCCCACCCTCCTGTGAGCTGAGCCCGGCCCCGTACCTGCTAGGGCCTTCTCTGCATCAGTGAGAGCCTTGTCTGCCTGCAGGATGGAGTTCTCTGTTGCTGCCTGAGACTGCAGGAAGGTCTGGAGCACCTCAGTTGCCTGGAAACCAGCAAGGAGGAAAAGTACTTATGATGTGGAAATTACTGTGTTAAAAGTACAAATCTGACTGTGTATTTTCTGCATCATTCTTAGGCCAGGGCTGAAATTCCAAGCTTTTTGTGAGGCATAGACACCCTGTGGAGCAGCCCCCTTTCCAGCAGCACCCTTTCCCGGGATGCTGCCCACCACCGTCCACAACCCCCAAGCACAGCCAACATAAAGCTTTTACTTTTTTGCAGTGAGGACATTAGTGATCTCCCTTACCAGAGTACAAGTGTGTGATATGTCAATTTCATTGTAAACACCCTGATGTATTGTGAAGTACAGAACGTATGCATCCCAGAATTGAATGTTTATAATTTCTTTTTTTTTTATTAAACTTTTATTTAATGCATATAAATTTCCAAAGTACAGCTTATGGATTACAATGGCTTCCCCCCCATACCGTCCCTCCCACCCACAACCCTTCCCTTTCCCACTCCCTCTCCCCTTCCATTCACATCAAGATTCATTTTCGATTATCTTAATATACAGAAGATCAGCTTAGTATACATTAAGTATGGATTTCAACAGTTTGCTCCCACACAGAAACATAAAGTGAAAAATAATAGATGATTTTTTTTTAAATGATGATGAAATCAGAGCAGACCTATTGTCATGTTTAATCCCAGTGAGAGTCAAGTTGGGAATTGATAATTTCTTTCTTTTCTTTTTCTTTTTTTTTTTTTTACAGAGGATCAGTTTAGTATGCATTAAGTAAGGATTTCAACAGTTTGCACCCCCATAGAAACACAAAGTGAAATATATTGTTTGAGTACTCATTATAGCATTAAATCTCAATGTACAGCACATTAAGGACAGAGATCCTACATGAGGAGTAAGTGCACAGTGACTCCTGTTGTTGACTTTACCAATTGACACTCCTGTCTATGGCATCAGTAATCTCCCTGTGCTCCAGTCATGAGTTTCCAAGGCTATGGAAGCCCTCTGAGTTCTCCGACTCTTCTCTTGTTTAGACAAGGTCATAGTCAAAGTGGAGGTTCTCTCCTCCCTTCAGAGAATGTTTATAATTTCTGACCACTATATTCCTTTTGCATCTTTTCTCAGGTCCGGTAATCTTCATTTTACTCTCTTTTGTTTTGTTTTGTTTTGTTTTGACAGGCAGAGTGGACAGTGAGAGAGAGAGACAGAGAGAAAGGTCTTCCTTTTGCCATTAGTTCACCCTCCAATGGCCGCCACGGCCGGCGCATTGCGCTGATCCGAAGGCCGGAGCCAGGTGCTTATCCTGGTCTCCCATGGGGTGCAGGGCCCAAGCACTTGGGCCATCCTCCACTGCACTCCCGGGCCACAGCAGAGAGCTGGCCTGGAAGAGGGGCAACTGGGACAGAATCCGGTGCCCCGACTGGGACTAGAACCCGGTGTGCCGGCGCCGCAAGGCGGAGGATTAGCCTAGTGAGCCGTGGCGCCGGCCCATTTTACTCTCTGTTAACATGAGCTTGGCATTTCTTTTTCTTCCATATAAAAGTAAATCATGTAGTATTTGTCTTTCTGCTTCTGTTTCATTTGACTTACCAAAATGTTCTCCATGTTTGTTCCTAGTGTCATAAATGAAACAATTTCTTTCTTTTAAACCTAATGATGTTCCTGTGTGTGTGTGTGTGTGTGTGTCTGTGTATGTGTGTAATTATATAGAATACTTTCTCCATACTTCTTCCACTGATGGATACTGAGGTCATTTACTTATCTTGGCTGTTGCAAATGTTGCTGTATTGAACATAAGAGTATAAATATCTCTTCAACTTACTGATTCTATTTCCTTTGGAAATACATTCCGAAGGCCATTGAAAGCTATTAAACTAGAAAAAACAAATTTGATAAAAATGTGGGATATAAAATTAGCATAAAATAATCCATAGCACTAACTAGCTGTTTGAAAAGGAAATTAAAGAAGTAATTTCATTTACAAAAGCAAGATAAAAGAAAGCACTTAATAATGAATTTTTAAGGTATAGATCTATACTCTGTAAATATTAGTCCAGTGATGAAAAGAAACTGAAGATAAAACAAATGGCATGGGAATGGCGCCGTGGCTCACTTGGCTAATCCTCTGCCTGCGGTGCCGGCATCAGGTTCTAGTCCCAGTTGCTCCTTTTCCAGTCCAGCTCTCTGCTACGGCCCGGGAAGGCAGTGGAGGATGGCTCAAGTGCTTGGGTGCTTGCACCCACGGGGGAGACCAGGAGGAAGCACCTGGATCCTGCTTTGGATCAGCGCAGCGCCGGCTGTAGCAGCCATTTGGGGGGTGAACCGAAAGAAGGAAGACCTTTCTCTCTGTCTCTCTCTCTCTCACTATCTCTATCAAAAAAATGGAACATTACCTAATATTGATTGGTTAGAGGTATTAGTATTGTTAAAATGTCCATAGTACCCAAAATAGCATAAAGCTTCCATGTAATCCCTATCAAAACTCTAATGATATATTTTACAGAATATTACAAGAAGTATCCCAAATTTCGTAGGCAAGTGCAAAATACTGAGTATTAAAAAACAGTCTTGCACTACAAAAAAAAAAAAAAAAAAAAAAAACCTCAGGCATCCCCTTTGAATTCTAAGTATACCACAAAGCTTTAGCAGCCTTTTTTTAAAGATTTATTTATTTATTTGAAAGTCAGAGTTACACACAGAGAAGAGAGGGAGAGAGAGAGACAGAGACAGAGACAGAGATAGAGAGAAAGAGGCAGAAAGAGAGAGAGAGAGGTCTTCCATCTGATGGTTCACTCCCCAATTGGCTGCAATGGCCAGAGCTGCGCAGATATGAAGCAAGAGGCAGGAGCTTCTCTTGTGTCTCCCATGTGGGTACAGGGGCCCAAGGACTTGGGCCATCTTCCACTGCTTTCCCAAGCCGTAGCAGAGAGCTGGATGGGAAGTGGAGCAGCCGGGTCTTGAACTAGCGTCCATATGGTATGCCGGCACTTCAGGCCAGGGCATTAACCAGCTGCGCCACAGCGCTGGCCCCTCTAGCAGCTTTAATACTGGCATAAGAACTGATACATGGGGAGCCAGTGCTGTGGCGCAGTAGGTTAATCCCCGCCTGTGGTGCCGGTATACAATATGGGTGCCGGTTCTGGTCCCCGCTGCTCCTCTTCCAATCCAGCTCTCTGTTATGGCCTGGGAAAGCAGCAGAAGATGGCCCAGGTGCTTGGGTCTCTGCACTCACATGGGATACCCAAAGGAATTTCTTGGCTCCTGGATTCAAATCAGCCCATCTCCAGCCATTGCAGCCATTTGGGGAGTGAACCAACTGAAGGAAGACCTTTCTCTCTGTCTCTCAGTCTTACTGTTTGTAACTCTACCACTCAAATAAATAAATAATTTTTTTTTTCTAAAAAAACCTGATACATGCAACAGAAAAGAGAACCTGGAAATAAGCCCATACATATACAGTAAACTAATTTGAATAAAGGGATCAGGAATATATGTTAAGTAGAGAAGAGTCTCCTCATGAAATGCTGGGAAAACTGGATATACAAGAGTGAGTTTGGCCCTTATTTTACATCATATTGAAAAATAAGCTAAATACTAAAGATTGAAAACTTCAATAAAGACTGGAAAGCATAATACTCCTACAGGAAAAGATAAGAAAAAAGATGTTAGATAGTAGCCTGGACAGTGATTTTTTTGCCTTCATTGCTAAAAGCACAAGTAATAACAGCAAAAAGAAACAAGGAAACTATGTCAAATTAGAAAGTCCTTGCACATCTAAAGAAACAATCAACAAAATGAAAAGGACATATATGGAATGAGAGACCGTATTGGTAAGCTATATACCTCATAAGAGGCTGATATTGAAAATATATAAATATGTCATACAAATCAATAGGAAGACACAATAGAGCTGACTTAAAGATGGGCAAAGTGCTTTTATAGACAATTCTCGAAAGGAGACACTCAAATGACTAACCACTATATAAGAACATCTTCAATGTTAATAATCATTTGGGAAATACATCAAACCATAATGAGATATCAGTTCACACCTGTTAGAATGGCTATTATATGGGATCACTGTTTTGGTGCAGCAAGTAAGGCCGCCACTTACAACTCTGGCATCCCATATCAGCACAACCGTTCAAGTCCCAGTTGGTCTGTTTCCATTCTATCTCCATGCTAATGTGCCTGGAAAATAGCAGAATGGCCCAAATACGTGGGTCCCTGCAATCCACAAGGGAGATTCAGATGGAATACCAGGCTCTTGGTTTAGCAATGATCACCATGGCTGTTGTGGGCAGTTAGGAAGTTAACAGGCAGATGAAAGATCTCTTTCTCTCCAACTCTCCCTTCTCTCTGTTATTCTGACTTTCCAATAAATAAAAATAAATCTATACTTTTATGATTTGAAATTTAGGAAATATTGATAAAGATGTAGAGAAAGGGGAACCCCTACACAACTGTTGGGGGAACATAAACTGGTACAATCATTACAGAAACAGAATGAAGATCCCCCCCAAAAATAATTGAGTTTCTGGCCAAGTAGATAGACCAGCCTTGTCAACTGGGCTGCTTGCTGAGTGGGTTAACAGAAGGCAAATTGTTAGCTTTTCTGTGCATCTTGTTCAATACCTGTATAATAGGAATGATGTTAGTACCTGATTTATAGTATTCTGTGAATTAGACTGATAATCCAATAAAATAACATAAAACTCTACTTGGTATAGGGAGTGAATGTCATGAAGGTCATCATCATCATCATTATTACTATCAGTGCACACCACTAGCGTAACCAGATCCACAGCATGTCCAACTCAGTATGAATTTGTCCACCCCAGATGAGATCATAATCATTTTGAAAATAGTTTTCTTCACTCAACACGAAGACTATCCTTTGTTTGAGAAAAAAAAGAAAGAAAACAAAGCAAAGAAATGGTTCTCACACCAGGATTTCTGATTCGAGCTTCTCTCTGGGAAAAAATATTTCTAGGTTACCTAGGAATATATAACTATAT